AATAAAAAATTTCTTTTTTTATTAGAAAACTTATCATAAATTAACTTTCATAATGATCCTCGAAAAATTTAATTTTATTTCGATTAATTACTAGAGAGAAAACTTCGTAAAGGATTTTATTTTAAAATTAAAAAAGCTGCCAGAAGAAAGCAGCACTTTTATTTTATTAAAAGTACTTAAAAATGTTAAAATACTTAAGCACAAAATAATAAACTCTTTTATCATTTTGAAATTAAATTAATTTTTGTCTTACAGATTTTAGCATAACTGATATCGAAATGATTTGTAAAGTGTTTTCTATTCTGATAAAATAAAGACAGACTATTTATTCCTTTATATTTTTGAATCGGGCAAAGTTTGAAAAAAAATTTATTTTGTAATCATGATTTTCATTTAAGCCATGTTTGCTGTTATTTTATGGTTTGATTTTGATTTATTGTCATAATATCCTTTTATCTTTTATATGATCATAATTTAAATTTAGATTGATAAATAAACTTGTTAAATGGGATTTTATCTTACAAAATTATAATAGGTTGCGATTTTATTATAAAAAAGTTGATTTTTAACTTCAATTTAGTAAATTGAATAAAGCCATTAAGTGTAAGAGTCGATTAATTTAGCAAAGTTAATTGTTCAAATTTTATGTTAAATATTTATAAATACACAGTAGCACATAAAGGATTAAAAATATTTATAATGTAAATTCTCACATTTATTATTTTTCATTTTTAATTTCTAAATCATCTGTCATTTTTCCAAAAACTTGTTTATTTCCTAATTTAATGATCTCATAATTTTTATCCTAATTATAACAATAGGGAATAATTGCCAATTATCCCCCAAACTAATCATTCTTATTCAAAAAATTGAATAATTTTGTCATTATTTTATTTTAAAAGCCCCATATTTTTTTGGATTCATATGGAACATATGTACACTCTGTAATTTTTAATAAGCAGTTGTTGTTACATGTTACTACATTTTATTTAGTTATCCATTGTGAAGTAGTTTACTAATGAGTTTTTTTCGTGGATTCACAACTAATTTAGGCAGTTTCTTGTTTGGTCCTTTAGTTTTGGCTATAGTTTGGACAGTTAAATTTATTTTAGATTTTTATGTCATGAAATGGATTTAATAAATAGAAATAATTTAAATAATCAGTCTCAGGTAATAGAACATTAGGATATACCTTAAGATGTG